TTTGAATACTTGTGGTTTTATCTGAAGAATATTTGTTAAATTTTGTGAACACATCTCGAGCTGAATGTAAACGATATCCGATTCTCTCCACGAATCGAAATACTGAGCAACAAATTGGGGGTCAACTTGACTTAAATACTCCACTTCCTTAAAGATATCCCTTTTTTGTTTGTCATTTAAACCTAGATATATTTTATATTTTATTCAAGATTAAGGTACAGATATGTCAATAAAAATATGTTTACCATTTTTTTTAAATGAAATCATTTTAACCGCATATTCTTGGTTGTCCATTTTATTTTTAACTTTTAAAACACTGCCAAATGCTCCTGATCCAATGGTATTTAGTTTATGAAATGTGTTATTAAAATATTTATCTCTTAATTCAATTATAAACATTTCATCAGTATCAATTTCTAATTTATATGTTAAGAATTGATAGAAAAATTGCAAATCATTTGACTGCAAACTATTTAATTTCGATTGTAAATCCTTGTTTTAAAAGAATATTCTTATCAATAGACCATTCGTTATATTTTTGCAATATTTCGCTACAATTAGGCCTTTTATCCCAATTTAAAATCCACATTAAATCTAATATAATTTTCAATTGTAATATTGATTCGGAAACCACATTATCATTAGTATTATATGGTTTGTTTCTATAAATAAAATATAATCTTTAATAATTTCAAATAATTTATACGATATGTAACTAACTTTTCTAAATCATCATGTAAATCCACATCGAATATCTCTGCCCCAATTAATGCCAATGCATAAACGTCAGATTTATGATTATAATCCTTGCCACTCGTTACTTCGGGAGCCATATATCTTATGTCTCCCACATCTGCCGTATGTCGCTTTCTAGTATTGTCATTCATATCATGGTGTTCCGTAGCCAACATAAAGTCACCCAACTTAATGAATCTGCCATTAACCACATTTTTAGCGATTAATAAATTCTCTGGTTTTAGATTTCTATGAATAATCGGTGGTTTCAATTCATGCAAATAGTGAACGCATTCTAAGATCTCTTTGAATATTTCGCACGAAAGGAAATACTCATATAAATCCAGTTGCTCTTCCGGTTGTCGCAAAAATATCTCTGTTGTATGTTTCAATATATTGCGGAGGTTTTGTGAGCAGAGTTCCATTTGAATTGATAGCGTGTTATCGACGAGCCAACTATTGTAGTATACGACCACATATTTTGACTGTAGTTCACGTAATTTTTTTATGCCACTGTACATCATTTTCTTTCCCAGCGCATCACAATCTTATATATATAATATATAAGGTCAGATACAGTATATCATTGTATTGTAAACTTTATAAAATGTTCACCATTTAAGTCATATTGTTTAACAGCGTATAATTTGCGGTCAATTTTATGGCTCATTAGATATACCGTTGCCCAGCCACCCACACCCAACTTTGATACCACTTCAAATTAATTTGATTTTAAACTCTGATCAAACTGGCGCAGCAATTGTGCCGCCTGATTCTGACCAGCCAGATCAAATATTTCTGCCAACTGTTGCCTGTGTTGGCGTTGTTGGGAGAACTGCCACAATAACTGACGCTTTTGTATCGATATATCATTTATAATCTAAAATATTTTTAATAAATTCTTATACATAATTATACATGTATTAATTAAACTAATTAATAAAAAATTTGTTATCAACAAAGAATTTTCAATTTGTCACATTTCTATTCAATATAACAAAAGGTACCTCATACCTATAACCATAATATTCAAAATCTTAATTAAATTAAAATTCAGAGAAAAATTAAAAGTAAATAATATTTTACAAGTATTCAAAACGTTATAATTTCTAATAAGTGAAATATGCCTACTATTATTATTAATTACTAATTATATAAATCATTAAACTAATTTATAGTAATTTAAAATTTGTAAATTAAATTAAACATACTTTTATATTTTAATTTTTATATATAATATTAAATAATCAATGTAAACTTGCCAATATGTCATCAATTAACATAGAACATGGGTGTGACCGAAGTAAACTGACAAAGGTGTCCGATAATTCAATATCATTATAAAATGACTTGATGTAATCATATAGTTTTTGTTGAGAATTATCTTCGTTCATTGGAGCAAGATCAATTAAAAATATATACAGTGTATAAATTAATATAAGTATTAATATTAATAATAATGTATATTTAATATGTTGTAATAATAAAATCCATTGTTTCTTATTTTACTAACAATTCATTTGTAACTAAATGTCGCTAAGAAAACTAATTAGTAATAGATAATTGTATAAATAAATAACTCAAAACTGAGCATGATCTTGTTTAACACATTTTATTAATAATAATAAAATAACGACAATATATTAGCATAATAAAGTTATCTTACAGTCAGTATAATATATTATTTTGTTTTCAATAGTGTCGTTTGTAATATGTGCCAGTGAAAGTTGAAGGGAACTCTGTACTTTTAATGAATGATACAGTGTTAATATTGATTAAGGTTTATTGGGATACCAATACAATAAAAAATAAAGCATTCAATGCTAATAATTTTAAAACAGGCACAGAGTTCCCTTCAACTTTCACTGCCACATATAATAAAATAATAAACTTTATTGTGTTTTAAAACAAAAAATAATCACTTGATTCATTAGATTAGATACTTGAAAATTTACTTATACCAGTACAGTTATAACACCACTACCATTATAATGATGTAAAAATTATTAAACAATTAAATTATTAAAATTCTTATATTTTATATATTTATTGCAGTCATTCAAAGTACAATTAATTTATATAAATACAGTAAAGATATTTAATTAATTACTAGTTTTCATTATAAACTCAAGGATTACTGAAATGTTTACGAAAACATTTAATTTTCTACAATTTTTAAGACTAAATTATTAAAATTATTAACAATATTTTGTGTGTCCTATATATTTAGATGCATAACTTTACCAATTTACAATTTAGTAAAAAATTAACTAACAATACAGG